AAATCTCTTTCAATAAAATTCATATCAAAGGATTCATGAAAGGAGAATGAAGGTATAAGTCGACTTATTTCGCTAAAAAAAAATTCATATCGGAATAAGTCAATTTAACTCACGGGATGATAGTTGAGAATGAAATTCCGGGCTTATTCCGTTTTTCACTTGAATAAAAATATAGTCAATTTTTTAAACTCAAATCGTTTATAGGGGATGTGTAATACAATATATAGAATCGTTTTCCATTAATAACTAATTTTCGAAAAAAAAAACGACTTATCATCCTTTACCGATTTGCTACTGAAATATAAACTAATTTCTACAAAGAAACTGCAAAATTGAATGCTGTAGCTGCGAGAAGAATAATATATTTGAAAAAAGTCGAAACTTTTTCAATGGAAATCGTAAAAAAATAATGTAATTTTAAGAAAACATTCAATTGTGGAATAATAAACTAAACTAACAGAAAGTAATTTAATCTATCTAGTTATTTAATTAATTAAAAACAAACGAATTACAGAGCGAAACACAAACGTGAACAACAATTGCACAAAAAAACGTAAATGAATACAAAAATATGATGGATAATTTGTGAACATTATGTTATATTTTGATTGAGCCCATGGGGATGTTGTGTATCTTAGGGAAACAATAAATCGCTTCTCTCGCCTGGCCCTTGGATTGCAAAAATATCCAATTACTCAGCCACCCGAGGCGAAAGTTTTTGGGAAAATTTTCATTTGACGTTTTGTATGTTTTTTACGAAATCCCTGCATTATTCATCGAATATGGGGAATGAAAAATAACAGAGGGAACTGCGTTAAATACCAACGCCTCGAGTAATTCGCACCTCAGAGGAGTTAATCGAAAAGTTAAACAAACTGAGACCCTTCTCAGACGTGAACGCAGCGAAGTTTGATGGGCTCTGACGGTGTATAAATAAAGGGTTCTCGTGGAGGATTCTCTCGGGAACAATTCCGGCGAGTTTAATTCGGTGTCATATTGAAATAGTGTAGAAGTCTGTACACGTTGAATTGTGTAAATTTAAAAAAGAGGTGTGTTAACTCGCGTATTTATAAAATTACAAACTGTAATGGAAGAAGAATAATTTATTGAGCGGAGAAAATAGCGCGCACTATTGACAATTTTCGACTGAAATTGTCATAGTTCCACTAAAATGTCAAGGAATTTTGTCATTGAAAATTCAATGTCGAAAAATCACTGAAAATTATAAATTTCAGATGAATTACAACATTAAATTTCATTGAAAAATCGAAAATTGCGGATGAATATATTCTTAAATTCTCAATGAATTTCATTGAATTTTCAGTGAAATATGAAATTTTCCACTGAAATGTCAAGGAATTTTGTTATTGAAAATTCAATGTGGAAAAATCACTGAAAATTGTAAATTTCAGATGAATTACAACATTAAATTTCATTGAAAAATCGAAAAGTGCGGATGAATATATTCTTAAATTCTCAATGAATTTAATTGAATTTTCAGTGAAATATGAAATTTCGTGTCAACGGTTGATGGAATTTTTTTTTTTCAATACTCTAAATATTAAAACGTCTTTTCTCTCAACGGTGATTTGTGTTGAAGTTCTAAATATATAAAATCAAATTATCTGTTGGGAACTCATGTCACCCGGAGACAAGATATTCAATCTATAATGTTTATAGATCGAGTGATTGGCTCGGGGTCAAAACTGATGGTGCCGAGGTAAGTAGATACAGTCAGCTGCCAGTCAGCCGATTAAGAAACTTTGAGTGGATGTCGAAACTGATGTTACCTACTCGGATATTCACGCGCATGAATGCACTCGGGAATGATGAAATTATTTAACTTCGTGCACCGCAATTTTGGAACTCATAAGGCCGCAACTATAATTCCAGTATGAAGATAATTTCATTTTCTTATGCGGTTGCACCCGTATTAACGCGTAAACACGGTGGCCGTTAATTAAACGTGTATCGTGAGAATTTCCGGGGAGTGGCAGGTCGCTGGATAATTGGGGATTTTAGGGGTGGTATAATTGTTCATTCGGACTATTTACAAATAAAGAAAGCCAGTATATAAAAATGAATAATTCAATCATTTCAGGGGAGGATCACACCGGGAAAAAACTGTTTCATTTTCCAAAAAAAAAAACAAAATTTTCAATCGAAAAGTCAACTCAACAAAGATCCCCAACATATTTTTAAAAAATAGCTCTTGAAATCACGCGAAGGATATTGTCGTTAATTTTTTTCTTGGAAAAGGAAGAAGTTCTTTTCGTTTTTAAAAACGAAATAAAACTCACAAAAAAAAATTGATTGAAATTGAGAAAAAAAAAATAATTCGTGATATATCCGCATTGAAAATTCAATTAACCGCGCAAGAACTAAATGTCATTTTCCCTTGTTAAATTTGATTGTACATCCCCTCAAACCCCGTTTTCCGTTGTACTTTGAGAACGAGTCTAAAACCGTGACGGGAATACGCAAACTCTTCATTATCCACCATACCCTAATTTCTCCATCCTAATTTTATAAAGTCCATTGTAATACCCTCAAACAGAATGACGAAAAAGAAATGCTCCCTCTCTATCTATTCGTAATTGCAGATTTCAGTAGCGGATTTTACATTATTTCCCTGAGCACTGCGTTCGTCAAAGACCCTTTTGCCCCAATTTTTTTTATTTTTGATCTCCCTCTCCCCGTTTTTATCTGGAAATAATGCTCGTGATCCTTCCATATTTCATTTGATTTTTCTGCGCCAAAACGCCTCTATTGTAGATAAAAAAATTTTTAATCCGTGTTTTTCAACGAAAAAATTGAAAAAAACTCTCAAACGAGAAATGGCATTTAAAAAAATTTTCGTTCTCCCTCTCCCCGCTTTTATCTATGAAAAATTCTCGTGATCCTCTAACGATGGAATTCCTATTTTCCACATGATTTTTCTGTATCAAACGCCCCTATTGTCGACAAAAAAAATTTTCATCAGAATTTTTCAACGAAAAATATGGAAAAAATCTCTGAAACGAGAAACGACATTTTTTTAGAACTTGCAATTATGAAAAAAAAAATCATTTCTCTTCCATCTGATGTCTAAAACTGCTGGGGCAAAACGGGTAGTCTTTTTTCTCAGTTTCCTCGGTTTTTCAAATAAAGAAGAAAATTAAATTCCAGAATTTTTTTATTCCCAGTGCGCAAAACTCGGAGGAAACGACGAAATCGACGGTTATCCAGCCCTCCCCAGGAATCGGAGTTCGTTTCCGTGCTTCGTGCACCAGCTCCCCCCAAATTCACCCTTTGCATTCACCCACCGCCTCCTCAACCAATACCCCCCAAACCAATTTCCGGAACTTTCTCCTCGAATGTCACAACCTGTTAGTCGACTGGGGATTACAATGCAGCTTTCGTTTCGTTTTCTCCACCCGTTCGACTCGCCCCGATGTCTCCTGCACGCTCCAATGAGACTAGAAGGGCGAAGGGGGGGGGGAGGCATGAAGCGGGGATTGAGCGACATCATGACTCCAGGATGAAGTGGATTTCAGCGTGATTGCCATTATTTAAAAAAGAAAAAATGATTTGGATGATTTTTGGCACTAAGATCAAGTATTTAGGAATTTAATAGAACTTGGCGCTTTCTTTGGGAAATTCTATTGAATTTCTATTGGAGTACTATTGAAATGATTATTACATTATATTAATCCGATAAAATTTTTTATCTCCGATTTTTATTCTTTGCTATTTTTTTATGGATTCTATCAAAATGTGAGGATAGAAATGGAGTTGATAGGTATTCTTTCATTATTTGAAAAAATATATCAATTTTAAAACCTTCCGGAGACATTGAAAAATCGAAACTTTTATTTTCCTGCGAATCGATCATCATCCCAACAAAATAAATACCTGGAATAAATTTCCCAATTTTGTTCCCTTATATTTCCATTTGTTTCTCGTAATAAAATTCAAGTAGAAAAAAACTTGGCAAATTCGTTTTCTAGAAGTCTTATAGACGTCATTATTACTAGAGTTGGCGTAAAAAATTGAATTTTCTAACAGAACTTTAATAGAACTGATAAAAAATTGATACTCGAAATTAAGACACCGAAATTAAGGGTCATGAGGGCTAGAATAAGGTTCATGGGGGTCATATGGGGGCACCCTAGTAATCCTAATATAATGGGTTATATCGAAAAAGCAACATCTACATATTTTTCCGTGAACAAATATCAATTGAAAAACGCACGTAAAAATTATGCAATTATCAACATAATTCGCGTAAAAAATGAATAACATTTTCTAATATAATAATTTTAATAGAACTCCAATAGAATTCTTACAGAATTCCTCTGCAAGAATCGGGATTTTCTATTTAATTTTATCGTACGTGATAACATGACATAACCTTGACAGAACTTCTCTGACCCTCAGGACGCCCTCATGGCCCTTACGAGCTTCCTATCCCAATTTTCTGCAGACAGATGATTTCATCAAGCACAAAGGTTGAGAAAAAATAATTACTCCATGCCCTCTTCAACAAAGAAAAATCCTCTCACTCCCGAGGAACGAATAATTTAATTCAATTTCATTAGAATTCAAGATCGAGATAAAGATAGAGCAATTAAGATGAGAATATAAAGTACCAGAGAGAGTGGACGATAAAATTCTTTTCTCTCATCGTTGAGGCTCGTTGAACTTGGTCGGCCATAAGGTGGAAGAAATCCATTGGATTACGTATCCAATCGACAATCCAAGGCAAAACCCAATGGGAAGGGGGGGAGAACAGCCGACCGATCCCTTTCATGTACAATTGCGAAGTGGAAGTTGCCATTGTAGAAGACGATCGAGGTGTGGGGATACTCGTAGCTATTTTCAGGATAGAATAGCATCAGCTACGGCACACTTCATTTCATTCCATTCTCCGGAGTGATGTACCAGGGGAAAAGAAGAGGGCTGAGGGAAATTGAAGGAAACACTTGAATTTTTTTTCTCTTTGGTTATCCTCTAACAGTTTCATTCATTTTCAATTGCTTTATTTAATTGCATACAATCCAGTATAATATAGTTATCTTCGTATATCTACAATTGTTTTTTTTTCCTTAAAAAAGAATATACTTATGCTTATGATTAGGTTATCAGATAATCTTTGTGACTATTCCTGATATTATTATTACATTTTTTTAGGTTTAGGTTTCTCAGTGGGTTGATCAAGTCGAGAGTTATCTCGGTTGTTTCAAAGTTCGCGTGTCTGTTTGCTTTTTTTTATTCTTGACTTGTTTCGTTTGTGGTGGGATGGCTTAGAAGGAGTCTCTTAGATCGAAATATCGATGGGGGTCTGGAATTTTAAACGGAACGCACGAATGGAATTTCAATCGAAATGGGAAATTGGTGAAGTTGTAAAAAATTTGAATGTAAATTAAGAGGTCAGTGAGTCTGAAAAAGAGAAGAATTAATGGTACAGTTTCCGCAACATATTTCAATTTATGGCCTCGGTTAACAATAATAAAAATGCGAGCAAAAATACCCCCAGGGGATTGTCCGCAATTTCTGCCACCGCCGTTGCCCGAAAAAATAAAAGTTTTAAAAATATTTTGCAGTAACCAACGCCAGGGGATAAAGTAAACGAAGGTTTTCCATCGAGCACCGCACAATTTCTCGGAAATTTTTTGTCATTCTTTTTTTTCGGGGGTTGAAACACGCTTTTTGACAGTAAATTTTGTTCAACTCGAGAGTTATCTCGGTTGTTTAAAAGTTCTCGTGTCTTTTCGTGTTTTTTTATTCTTGACTTGTTTCTTTTTTGATGGGAAGTTTTAGCATTAGTCTCTTAGATCGAGATATCGATGGGGGTCTGAAATTTTAAACGGAACGCACGAATGAAATTTCAATCGAGATGGGAAATTGATGAACATTGCAAAAAATTTGAATGTCAATTAACAAGTCAGTGAATGTGAAAACGAGAAGAATTAATTGTACAATTTCCGCAACATATTTCAATTTACGGCCTCAGTTAACAATAACAAAAATGCGAGCAAAAATGCCCCGAGTGGATAGTGCGCCATTTCTGCCTCCGCCGTTGCACGAAAAAATAAGTTTTCAAAATATTTTGCAGTGACCAAAGCTAGGGGATGGAGTAAACGAAGGTTTTCCATCGAACACCGCACAATTTCTCCGAAATGTTTTGCCTCTTTTTCGGAGGGGTTGGAAACCACGATGACCACTGGGAGTTAACTATGTACACATTCTGCTCGCCCAGTATTTTTATCTCCGCCTCTGGTGGATCGGAAAAAATTTGGAGTTTGCGGAACTCGTTAACATTTGACCTAAGGATTCAGCACTATTCACGGAACTAGAGGGTAGATATTTTTTGCGGGGGATTTTTCAATACGTGGAAGTTGGACTCCGGGTTGGAGTCACTCGTGCTCATTGAGGCAGTGCGTTATTTCGGTTTTTCTCGTTCTGATAAACGGAAAGGAAAAATAGACATTGTAGTGGTTTCGCTCGCAGTTTGATGAGGGCCGAAAAAACGGGACTTTCCGGAGTCGCCCAGACTTTCTTCAGTTGAAAACTTTATCCATTGGATAAACGGAAAGAAATAATAAGCTCTGCCGAAAAATGATATGTTCCCCTGAAGAGATCTTGGTCGCGTTTAATTAATTTACTGATGGACAAAAAAACGTTTCCACCAAAACAATCATTTTGTAATTCCTTCTAGCTGGGGTCCATTATCAGCCAACAAAGTTTATAGTATTTATTAACCGATGAATTCCCGTGTAAAACAGAACTGGAATCTAATTCTTATTTACTGGCGAAGAGGCAATAAATAATATTAAAAAAGATTTGCATTTTCCACAGTCACCTCCGACATATGAATATTCTAGCTAAAAATCAACAGGGCGGAATAAGTCAATAGTTTTTTAATTACAGCCGCGGAACAATATTGACATCATCTAGATGAAAACAAAATGAAATTTCCGGATGAAATTTCACTATCAAGCGATGAATTCGTTAAAAAATACGTCCAACCGTTGGAAATATTCCACTGTAAATAAAATCCTCAACAACCAAAACAGATGCCGAAAGCCCGTTGGAATTGAATTTGTTCGCCGGCAAAGAGATAACGGATAATATTCCAAAACGGCTGTGAAGTCGCACGATAGCACCGTGAGCTCGGCTCGTAAGAGTGCGAGTTGCCCTCCGAGATAAGAGTTAAATCTAAAAACTTTTCTGACCAAATTTTTCTGAATTCCGAGAGATATAGGAGTGAAAACTGAGCGCCGAGCGAATGGAAGATGAAAGGCAGGAAATACAGGGGGAAGAACATTTGGCATGAATTCTACATTTCAAATGATAAGAAAGTGGAGGAGTACGGAATCTCGGAGTTGAAACGATTGGTAGTGGTAAATTCAAAATCCCGGGAGAAAAGTCCATTGCAACTAGCATCCGGAATAAGTGCTCTTACTCAAACCCGAAGGTCTGAAAACTTTTATACGGAATTTATCGTATCAACTCCAACATCTAACATCCAAAAAGTTTAGACTCTTAGATGTCATTGTAACACACGGGTCTATCATACGCGAGTTGAGTTGTGCTTGAGACGAGAAATTAATCAACAAATCAAGGGAGAAGTTATCTCCGTTGAGTGATCAGGACAAAAAAAAATCTCAAACAAAATCATTTTTGTAACACGAACTTTCACATAATCGCCATTATACCCTGTAGAACACGGTGAAACTTATCGTCTATATAAAATCTACCAACATTATTATCGTGCCACTAAATATCTCTAGATGTTTCATTAATCATCCCCTCATTCTCTCGAACAACCACATTAAACTTTTGAGCTCCACCTTAGCAGCATTAACCGTACGCATCACCCACAGTAACAATAAAATCAAATAAATAAATAATACCCGAAGAACATCCATCACCAAATAATCATCATCATGTCGAGTATAACCACGCAATACCATTATCATCCTCCGGTAAGTTCCAATCTCCTTGTCTATGGATAATATGCAAATTAAATCAATCTCGCTCGTGAATAATTGCACCGACCTCCGGATAAAACTTTAACCCCTCACAACTACCCAAGAGCCCAGATAACGATCTCAATTCTCAATACCCCCATTGTCTACCGCATAACTATCAGCACGACATGAGGATCAATATCGAACTGCTTAAAACTCAATAATTCACTTATCGAAAGACACTCATGAACATTCACTCCCTACTAATATCAAAATGTATTCGTCATCTCGTTACAAGTGTTATTGAGCACATTTCCACCATTTTCATTATAAAAATGTTCATTGTCCAGTATCACTCACTTATCACACTGTCTCTAAAACAATGAGTGTTCACCCAAATCAATCTCTTTACTATTGAGCGCACTAGAGACTCGGCATCGGGTGTCATCGGCCCCAAGAATCCAATCGAGACCGGGGAATCCCAAAAAGAACGGACTAGAACCAAGGGGGGGATAAGGAATAGGTGCATTGAACCACGTGGGACTCCCCCGAGTGCCTTTACACATGCCAGACCCAGCGATCGATGAGCCCTACGTTTCGCTGATTTACTGGCGCACCGACGTGAGATAAAAGGGGTCAGAGAGAGAAAGAGAGGGAGGAGGGGAAGGGCGATGGATGTCAACAGTAGCAACCTGCCATCCGTCCTCCCTCATTTCCCTTGAATCCCAACTACTCCACATAATATGGGCCGTCCAGGTGAGCGTTACTGCAATTGACCGGTTGTGTGGTATTTCCCCCTTTCCTCTTCCGAGGTTGATCCGGCGGTCAGTTGGTCTGACACCTCCAGTAACATGGGTGATTGCCTCGGTCAAGCCTTCCAACATCATGAGTATGTACATCTCCCGCCTCGTCGCGTCATATTTGCAGCTGACTCGGGCCCTCAAACGTCGCTGGATTTAGATTCATCATTGCGCCGACGCTCGAGTCTAGCTGTCCCTCAGACATCCATGGCATCGCCAACGTAACCCTCGTCGGGGCTTTCAGGATGATCTGGTGGTCGTGCATCATCAGCCCTAGCAGCAACAGCAGCTGCCGCTTCGTGCGCCGTTTTACTCATCAGTGATCTTGGTGATAGGGGCGTTGGTTCACCCTTGTATGCCGCTGGGGGTGATGGTATGAATGGCACATCACTGACCTCCGGCATGACAATCTCCGGTGATACGTACGGTGGTATCTGCAGGGGTTGTCTCACTGGTGAGGTGATTGGCTGATAAGCCATTGGATAAGGATAACCGTCAGCTGTGTAACGGGTATCAGCACGAGAGAGCACAGCTGTCTCGTGGGGTGTTGATCTCGCTAGAAATTCAGCTTCACGTGTGTAGCGAGCTGTTGGCGCTGCTGCTGAACCCTCGGGCATTCTGTGCCGTAGTCGGGGTAGTGTACAGCTTACAGCGTTCAGCGAGATTTTGGGAAGGCCAAAATTCAATGGATAGCCGTCCTGATCGAGGTACGGTATTTGGGAGAGACTTGGACGTGGATCCATTGTTGGCTGCAATGAGTATCGCGTATCCGCGTAATCGAGCACATGACGAGGCTGAGTTATCTGGTGCTGGTAGAGGGTGTAATTGTCAGTCGTATTTGTTGGATTTGTCGTTGGATAGACTTCGTTTATCAGGTCTGGTTCAGTTAGGTACTTTGGTACTGGGCCTCTGTATGCCTCCACTGTCTCTCGTCTGTCTAGTGATGCTGTGCGCGCTAATTCACGCTCTGTGTACATCACCTGCTGTTGATTATCGAATGTCAGCGTGTCGGTTGCGGTTTTGTGGGGCAATGTTTCTGTGTCCTTTACGATTGGCGATGACACTTTACTCTGGGATGACAGACTTTTGGCATTACGTTTTTGGTCCCTACGTCTTTTTGCACACAATATTATACCACCAATCACACAACCAAGTGCCAAGAGTGTACCTACGAGAGCACCTGCTGCAACAGCGGCCACGTAACTTGTGTTGGAATTCTCAAATGGTGGCTCGACTGTACTGCGCTCGAGGAATCTCACGTGGAGTGACAAATTTGCCTCGACTGATCCTGCTGTGTTCTCAGCGATGCAAGTGAATGTACCCTCATCATTCTTGTCGGCTCCGTATATGTGGAGAATATTTGTCAAGTTTATGTGACCCTGCTGTTTACAGATGTACCTGGAAAAAAAAGGGAATTGATGAATTGATGATTTTTTGGGGTCGACGTGGGGTTGACATCACGGCTGGGAGGGGCTGGGGGGAATAAAATTGATGAATCAATCTCATCAGAGAGAGCGGTTCGTGAAAAAATGACCGGAACAGCGGAAGAATGGCGCTTAATTTTTCTCTCCTCTTTTGTTCCTGAGGGATTACTGACGGTAAGAAAAGTGACCGGGGCGATCTGGGGTCCTAATCCTCCCCTTAACTCTATCGCTTCACAATGCCCGTCGGGGTGGATAAAATGCACCATAATGATCGGTCATGATGACAGTGGAAAGGCGAGACGACAGGTTCACATCCTAAACCCATGTATTTCATCATGGGTCAAAGAACCCGCTCTGAATCTAAATCGAATTTTCTTTCTCACCCGTGTTGCCACTTGAACGGGCTTACCTATTGTTCTTTCAGGAACGTCAGATGGACAGTTCTATTTTCTCCGTATAATTGAAGCCATTGTCTAGGGCCATTTGCGCTAGGGGTGCCGAGGAAAAAAGGGCAAGAGTGATGGCCAGTGTGTGGTGAAGAATATCAGAAATCAAATCAAATGTCAGTGGGATGAAAACGTGAGAGTAATGGATCATAATTCTTACCTGACATAGGCCGAGATGGAAGAGTCGTTGTCCTTCTGTGTCTCACATTTTTGTCCGTTGATCCACCACGAGATTGTAGCTGCGGGAATGGCGTAGACATTACAATGGAGAGTCACGTTTGCTCCCTCATCAACTTCAACCACTTGTTCAGTCTGAATCTCCGGTAGACAAGCGAGATCATCGAGTTTAACGGTTTTAATCGGCCGCTGATGGAGTCTAGGTGGTGCATCACAGACGGGATCGGACTCCTGCGGTGCAGCTGGCGCTGACTGCTTCAACCAATCTTGCATAGGCCGCAGACGGCAGTTACATAACCAGGGGTTATTGTGGAGTGTTAGACCGTGGAGATTACCGTTGAGGGGTAGTGTCATTTCAGGAACATAGGTGAGCCTGTTGTCGTTGAGTCTCAACCACTCGAGTGACTGGAGACCGTTGAAGGCACCCTGCTCAATGCTTGTCAGCTGGCACTTGCTCAACTCCAGTGTTGTCAATTGTGTCAGTGGTTTGAAGGCATCGCGTGATAATCTCCGTATTGGATTGCCACTGAGTATCAGCCTCATGAGACTCGGACACGAGGGAAATGTCTCCGAGGGCACATCGATAATGCTGTTAACACTCAAGTCCAACTCAACGAGACCAACGAGACCGACCAATGCTTGTGGCGATATCTGACTTATGTTTGATTTTGACAAGTACAACTTCTGGAGATTCACGAGACCCAGATTTCGGAAACTCTCGGCTTGCAGTTTTACAAGGTGATTGCTTGACAGATCCAACACCTGTGTTTCCTCCGGTGCTCCCTGGGGTAGACGAGTCAAATTACGATTTGCACATTCAACTGCCTCCTTTCCACCTTTCCATTTGCATGCACATGTTGGGGGACAAGCAATTGTTTGAGTCGTCATCGTTGCTACGAGGAGCACGATTATCAACCACCAACATTTTAGTCTCATTGTGTATCTCATGGGGATGAGAAAATGGAAGACAATGGTTAATAGTGCTCGGGCATTTTCATCCCCCTTCCCCTCTCGCTTATATTCCTTTTTCAGCGCTTAACGTCTCACTGGATATTTCAATCTAGCCACTTTTTTTTGTCGTCCTCCTATATTGCACCTCTTTTACGTACTTTTTTTTCTATTCGCGAACGGTTGTCCTTGTCTGCCTCCTCTTATTCTTGAAACTGATGGATCCGTCAACTATAGCTGGCGCTTCTGCCAGTCTTGCATTATTCCAATCCAGTTCATTTTACTCTCCCTCCAGGGCATATCCATCCCCACTCTTTGTAAATTGATTCCCCAGGCCATTGACGATGCCAACCTTCATCGGTGTATCACCATCCGGCTATCTGAAAACAAAAAATGAATAAATTGGGTTTTTTTCGCGGTGCGCCGGGGGGACGAGGTTTTTTCGCGTTATATCGTTTATGAGAGTGCTCGTAACTTTTCGGGAGATTTATAAGTGAAGTTTAAGGGGGCGAGCTTTCGCGGTGAATTTTTGGGGGACGACGGTGAGAGCGGAGAGCTTGGAGATGCGGGTCAAGGCTGGTTTATTTGTGACTTTTAAAAGTTTGAGGAGAATATGTTGATAGAAGTGAAGTCACATAAATTTTGAGGATCATATTTGGGCCGGTTGTAAGAGAGGGGGCGCTTCGCAAGCGTGAATTGACTTGTCAATTCAGACTTCAATTCGTCTGTACACATTATTCATGATCGTTATGTATTTGTTCATGCAGTAATAAAGAAGTTGATATTCGCTCTTATTGCGTTTAAGTTTGAGAAAATATTACCGGCTTGACTGCAGGTTCCTGGTTCATTTGATTGAGTATCGATAATGGGACGATATCTGGTGATTTCAATAATTTTCAGTTCAGTTAATCTTTGTTGTCTATTTGTTTGTTTGTTTGCCCCTTTGCGCCTTTTTTATATGTCGAAGTGTCGTCTGTCTCGAGACACCGTAACTGTTGTAAGTCATACAGTCCAGTCCGTGCAAATATTAATTAGGACAAACTATTAATGGGCATTGAGGTGATTAAATAAGTGGGAATTTTGACGATCAATGTATCGAACGAACTGGTGTCTGGATTTTGTAAAATAATCGGACGTCGAGTGATATTTTGTGTTGATCTATTAAATTTCCCCGATCGAAATGATTTTAAAACATTTCAGGTCCATGAAATTAGGAACGTTTGACTTTTGTTCAAATAATTTAGTAAAATAATTTCATACAAATTGCACATTTAAAAACATCTCCATGCTACGAATATGTGCACTGAGTTTTCGAGAATTTGAATGAAAAATATCATCAACTTGCGAACTCTCATCATTACGTAGGAAGATGTATGATGATAATGAGGAGCAGTTGAAATATTTGAACAGCTAGACGGATAATTTACCGTGTGAAAAATATATGAGTTTAAAGACCCGAGTGGGGGAGGAATGCCCGGGTCAAGGGTGATGCATATTTTCCTGGCTCCTGTCCTCTCTTCTCTAACTCCCTCCCGCTACTTCCTCTCTCCCAAGTATCTACCTAACGTGGCACGACATTAATCATGCCAAATGATCTCGCCGCGTGTTCAGGAAGATTTCCTTCTCGCGCCGTTTTCACAAAAGCTGGGGCTGGGAGAGGGAGAAATTTCTACGAGAGGTGCAAATGCTGGATTTGCTGTGGAAGGGAAAATAACGAGATATTTTTGAACAGGTATTTTTTCAATGTTAATTCCCAAAACGTAATCCTTCGAAATTACCCAATAAATCAGGTGGAAAATTAGGCCAAGTGAATGATTTCTCGATATCTGCACTGAGAGAAAAAATTGTTTCTGTCGAAGAATTATATCAGTAGCGAAGTGGTAAAACGGTACAATTTCGATTATTGACCAGTTTTCAATGGATATCTCGGAATCTAAGGGATATAGCAAAATTTTTGTTATAACCTTTTTTATAGAACCGATTAAGTGCTACAAAAAATGTAATTACGAAAATTTGGCTATGTCCCTTAGATTCGGAAATATTTCTCAAAAAGTCGACTTAAACCGTCTTACCACTTCGCTACTGATATGTTCCCCTGAAGAGATCTTTTGTCGCGCTGAATCAATTTACTTGCGAACAAAAAGAAAGCTTCCACCACAACATGATAATTTTCGTAGTAGTAATTGTTCTCGTGAGACATTTATATGTCTTTTGGGTAAATGAATTCGTTCTGCAGAGAATTCTATGAGGCACAATGAAGAAGGGAACTTATGTGGCGTTCCACATCTTTGTGACGTCATAGGAAATGATTGGATGGGATTTCTATGAGGTAGGAAACCATGAAACTTCGTGAGTCAGTCAATAATGATATTTAATATTTTGCGTCAATCCGATCAATAATTTGCCAGAAAAATGAAAAAAACGTGAATGTTGGCCGAAATGGGTGTAGTACATAATTTTTCACAGGAGATTCAGATAAAAATTACGGAACGCTCTGGAGAAGTTCCGTGACAGTTCCTCAAAATTTCCTACAACCACATTTCGCTACGGATTTACGGAAAAGATACGTAATTTTTATTGAATATTTCTCTCCTTCCACTCTGGATTTTTTACTGTGTACGGAGTTCTCTCAGATCAAATGATTGTCATGCAATAGATTTTTATCCTGCCAGCAGTTTGAATTCTTCTAGAGAAATTTCTGAGGATCCCGACGAAAAATTCATCTTCATGAAAGATTAAATTTCCTACAAGTAAATCTGTTCCTCTCCATCAAATAATTTTTTCCCCACAGAAAAACCATAATCTTTGCATTCACATATGCCATTTTTTCCTCAACAAATCATAACATATCCCCCACAAAAAAACGTATTCAACCCCATTCCCCTCCGCCATTACCTTTCACCCAGTAAAATTTGCCGAGACTCTCCAGACAATTTTTCCCCAACTTTTCTCTCCCCGTGGAAATGATGAGATGCCGAGGTACGATGGAGTTAGACAGGGTCAACGATCCCAGGTGAAAAACCTCCGTGAAGAGTTTATTGTTTAGAGAATTCTTTGATACCGTCCAGAGGCTTTCAATGCCCCCTTTTTTTCAACCTCAACCTCCACTCTTTTCACGTCCCGGCGTATCTCGCGAGCTCAGAGGGGAAACGAACCCGAAGGTCGATGAATTTTAGAGGAGCCCGGGGAGATAGAGCGAGCGAGGGGGGGGAGGTGCTCTGAAAAGCCCGCCATTTTCTCATAATGTCTCGAGAGAGACAAACTGCACACATTCGTTGATTGTGAAAGCCACACATTCAACCTTAGGCAGGATACAAATGTGTTGAGTAGTGTTGGATAGTCTGAGGAGATCACGAAGCCGATATACCTCTGTGGCTCGTCGTGTCTCGTGTCGTTCGCCTACCTCGGGATATCTCTTATATAGGGTAGAGGAACCCATTGTCACGACAAAATGCCGCAGCGTCAGCGTGCACCTCCGCTCAGTGCAGTGTGCGGGGGGTGATAAATTATTACGTAAGACTGTAACCTCGATATCAGTCAAACTGTCAAAGCCGACAAATGATTTTTAGGGGGGGTCGGGCTCGGGGTGTATCTGCGGCTTATTACACGACTTAAACGACATGTTGGAGTAATCTGGACGGATTTGGGTAATTAATTGGGCGAGATTAATCGCATCAACATGAATTTTTCAGGGATTCTGGGGCGGTTCTGGTGAGTGAAATGGGAGATTAATTTTTGATGGGCGGATTTGGGTGGTTTCAGTCATTATTCGGGATTTTTAGGGGCTTTCGCGGACCTTTCAAAGCTGCTGGAAACGCATTTCACTGGCTTGAATCGCAGACAACTTGGATTCCTCAATTAAGGTATGTCCCTAGAGAACAGGTGTTTCTTATGATTGTCCTCGGGTTTTTCAGAGATAATGGTTTCTATATTTCTCAAATATTGAGAACAATTTCAACTGGCTGTACTACACAATTTAGGAGGCAATAAACAATTAAATGAGGGTTTCTAGAAATTGAAATTTCGGGAAATAATTTATTATTTGATTCAAACAGTTATTGTTGCCTTCATCAACGACATATGAGGATAGAAAAACTTGATAAATTATGAGAGTGCAATAACTTGAGTCATTTAGAATTTTTTACGGAAATTCATTGGAACCAACTTTAGGGTAATAACTTTTGTCTCGGGTATACGTTAAGAATTTTCAAGTACCTCAGTTATTTTTTCTTCAATAAAATGCTGTTCTGATTTTATAGTCGACCATCAGAGCGGTTATTTGAACCTCATTGAGTGATATTTCTTTTTTCATAAAAAGAAATCGTGAACAAGGAATTTTCATTCATTTGTTTGTCGAAAAAAAATTCAAATAGATGGCTTGCGTAATTTTGAAGAACTGCTGCAGACAATAAAAAAAACTAGACTAATTTTCCTGAACCCTACAACGTGAAAAATGATCTTAAAATTAAAAAAAAATCATCTTTCATATTTATTCTCAAATCTAAACCCAGTGAGAGCAAAAATCAACTCCTTTTCAATGAGCAAATAAATACCTAACGATCGTAAACAATACGCATGAACCAGTAGCCAATCAATGCCCAGAAAAATGCAAGAGAAAAATTCAATCAACATTACAAATAAAAAAGGAAAGGCTGCACCATTATGGTTCTTTGGAATACCTTCCGAACAAATTAAGCAATGCACATGCACCAGTGGAACCCCTCGTATGAATAAACAACCCATGTATTCCGAACCTACCATTTACCCCTGAAAATTAACATTTCAATATACCGTTCAATATTGGTTCAATTTTTGAAGGTCTTGACACGACTACTCTCCACGTACGAGTCTTGCATGTACAATGAACTTTCCAAGTTCATGGGGGGGAGGAGGGGGCGAAAGCTGGAGGGTAAAAGTAGACTCGAAATGGCACTTGGTATTCAGCGCGAGAGAGCACCGCTTACCACCATATTTTTTCATTTGTCCCT